CTTCATACATTATAACTTATGGTTCTAACTCTTCAGGATTGACAAAGCGAGCGTCCAAAGGAGTTTCCATCATATTTGAAGAGGTATCAAAGGTTTAAAAAAGTCTGTTTAGAGTTTCTTTTCACGATAACGCGTTTAAAACATCAAATAAACTTCAGGTAATCTAACAAGAAATGTATAGTCAAAACGACGCTAACATGACGGTATTGAGTAAATGACGTCACAGCGTAAAACTGCTGTACATAATGACTCGTTGGCCGTGAGTCAAAAAATTAATGGCGGACGAAAATAAATCGTAAAATTTTGGCCCTTCCTTTTCGAATATTAGAAAGATATTTCAGTGAGAGGTTCTTAATGTGTTCAAGATTATTTCAGCAAAGTTCCAGCTCGAATGAAAGAGTTTTAATTTTGGAACGATTTTCGTCCAAGTGGCCCTTTAACGAAGCCCTAAGGGGCCCTTTGTATTCGTATTCTGTCCAATAGCGTTATGCCTAACCCTTGTAGTTAATACCATCGGTACTGGACTTCTTTTGGTGTGAGAATGTAGCGACCTCTAATATTGGACATTTTCACTACCTTATTTTACACTCATACTGTAGAGAATGGTATCATTCCCTTCCAGGAGAACCACGTGGTAATCAGAGATCTGTCTGGCAATTTTCTCCCACGCGATGCTCGCTAGATCGTTACAAAACCACAGTAAGCGAAACAGAACCTCTGAAGACCCGGCCGGGTATACGTCTTCTTTTTTTGTCTTACCTTATCTACTGAATAAACTTCTTGATTTTCTTGTGGTCTCACCACGTGGCCTGGAATGCAGAGAGTATCTCGTGGTTTGATCAAAAAGAAAACGGTTCTCGAATACTCGAATATTTTAATGCATTCAAGTTTGGGAGATAAGAATATTAAGAATATCAGAAAAAAGGAAAACCACTTAACTAGACCAATGGACTTTGCAACCTCTCCTAAAGACCGGCCGTATAACCAACCGTCTACTGATCTTTTGTTCAATTTTTTTTTGTTTTGTTTGTTTTATTTTTGCCTTTTTGCCCAAATTATAATTTCAAATGAAGTCCTATGTATGCAAAGTTATTACCTAGCTATGTAAAGTCCTCTCCAGGAGAACATTCCTTGGTGAATCAAACAAAATGTCATCACTTACTCGGTAAATATTGACTAACTTACACCTTATTAATTTTTAAAGTTTACTGTATTTGTTTGCAAACCATTCACACTTCCCTTACGTATGACCAATGACCTAATCGGCAGAATATAGAAATCTTGCAGTATGCATTATTTCACAAATGCATTCGGAAATCCACTGTAAACCATTACATCTTATTCTACCACCCATACCACCCATTAAGGCCTTCAAATTGGACTAAAATTGATCTTGAGATTGTGCAGCTGATAACATGCATGTAAATAATAGTTTGTCTCCATGAGATAAGATAACAGATGTATCGGCTTCTAAGGATTTTTAAATACGGTCCTGAGGTCAGAGGTCTGGCGTTTTTTCATATGCTATTCGCTATCACTACGTGTAATTTAAGACTGTACCTTCACGCTGTCAGTGCACTAGTACAGGACTATAGCACGGCAACTAATACCATAAACAGCCTAGTTKCAGTTTTGTAGCCCTGTTGCTCTTACATAAGAGTGTTTGGACGCCCTTTCATTTTCAACACGATGCAAGAAAGCATGGAAAACGTAACATCCCAAGTTGGTCCACGAAGACCGACCTTGGGACGAAGAGTGACCTGCCAATACTACAGTCCTGCCTTGGTTCTTTCTAGAAACGATGGTAAGTCCTAAATAGTCATGAAAACCAAATTTGTGGAAACTCTAGTATACAGCATAGAATTGTGACTCGAATGGACTCAAAGAGGATGTGTTTGATTAGAAAATAAACTAACTTTGCGTACTTTCTCGACGTTTTAAAGGATAGGAAGGATGTGGGCGATAGATCATAAACGCTTCTTCTCGCTTCAGCTTTTCTTTTATTATCATCAAACCGCTTTTTCAATTATTTTAAAAATTAGAAAAATTCTCTCCACCAGTTTCGTAGTTCTAATAACCTTATACTTAAAGTCAGAATATATTCAATATTATTCCTATTATTTGTTGAGAGTTTGTTTTTGACGACATTGTTCTTAATGAGTCTTCAAAAGCGCATCTTTTTTCTTATTGGACACAAACCTTGTCTGACCCTAAGAAGAAACTTTCTCAGTTCAATGATCGCGAAGAGATATGTGATTTAATATTCTGAAATCACAGATACACCTTAATATTCATCAATGGAAAAAATGTTGGGCCGGCCACAACGTACAGACAACGAGACAACGAGGTCAAGAAACAGATTTTTTTTGTACTAATGAGGTTTATTTCCTTCTTTGATTGATGTTTTACTTTGGTTCCTTGTGAGGTTTCAAAAGTTAATATTTGCAAAACCAAGGAAGTTAAATAATTTCAGTAAGAAATTTTTGATTATTTCAAAACTTGTTTGGGGTTTCCCCACTGATTGATATATGGCGGTAAATATTGACCATTCATGCATAGTGGAATACTCTATTCCTGTAACATGCCGTAATCCAATCAAGTCTAAAATATGTACCTTTATTGTGTACTGATGCAGTTTAATTCATTTCCTACTTTAATCGATATTTTTTTGCTTTAGTCCTTTGTGAGATGTGAAAAGTTCATATAAAAAAATTCGGTCAAAAATTTATATTTGCAAAACCAAGTTTAGTGATTAAATTAAACGTTCGATCGTTTTAGAATTCGTTTGGGGTCTCCCCGCTGATTCAATATCTAGTAAATATTGACATGCAATTAGTCAGAATACCTTTTCTGTAACATGCCGTAATACTGTAACAATCAAAGTCCAAAACTTTGTACCGTTTTTCCGCGTACAATAAAGGACAATAACAGGACCAATCAACTGCTATCTTATCATCGGATATCTTAATATACTTTAATGTCCATCATCCCTAATCAAGTAACTTCATTTACCTACGGATTAATGAATCCATACTTGAAAATGGGCCATGTGCAAAATTTAAGATTAACACTTCATGCACAAGCGTAGACTGCTGTAGACTGTGTTATCTAACATTCTTTAAGGTATTCTCCACTGTAGTTGGGTGGAACAAAAAGCCCTGTCTAACTTATAAACGCTCATTATTCATAGCATTGTATTCCTAATACCCGCTAATGCGCAATACACAGCTCTGTCGGTTCCGCAGCATCCGGAATCCAAGTAGCGCGACAACTAAACCTCTACTTTGTGTCTAAATAGCTCTGTCGGCAAGAGAAATTCCAAGACATTGCACCCATTAGAATTGCGGTTTCTATTGGCATTTAGACTCTTAAATAGTGCGACCAAAAAGAGCTTTTGTGCGATTACCTTTAAAACAATTCCACTTCTATGAAAAATATTGCCACACCAACGAGGCATCCGCAGGAGCTGTGCGCTGGGTGTACTTCGGAATGACGGCAATTCATGCCGTGTTTTTCCCGAATGTTTTAGCCCAAAGCATGCAGAGGGAAGAGACTAGCCCCCTCATAAAGGCCATACTGTTTGGAGCTAAGCCTTTGGAGGAGTTGTCGCAAATGCATCATCTTATTTTTTCTTCTTCCTTTCTTCCCATTCTTTTCATTACATGCTTCCTTCCTTCCTTCCTTCCTTCCTTCCTTCCTTCCTTCCTTCCTTCCTTCCTTNCTTCCTTCCTTCCTTCCTTCCTTCCTTCCTTTCTTCCTTCCTTCCTTCCTTCCGTTCATTTATTAAAATAGATTGTTTATAGAAATAAATGTTTAAAAAAAATTAATCAAGGAAATTAATACTGACCCTGTACGTTAAATTGAGCTTTACAATTTTTCGACAGGATCTGATCTGATGTGGAGGGACAAAGTCCTTTTTGATCGCAGAATGCATGTTGTGTCTTATGTAGATGACATCTGTCTGCCTGTATTATCAACATTTATCTTATTTATCCTCTCTGGCTTTGAAGTGACCGATGGTTCATTTCATCTATGTATTGCCCCATTTCAACACAAGGTTCTTTCAGTACATGCACGACTGCATGCTACCTTATGAGTAAGAAAATATCAAGCAGATTTCTAACAGTGGATGTTCTAACAATAGACAATGATGTCTCTTTTTTCAGAGAAAAGACTACAAGTTGTACTAGAATTGCTACAAACAGAAGAAAGATATCTTACCTGTCTTCGCACATTGAAGTCGGTGAGTAAGTTAATGACATTGAAAATTCTTTGCAATAACCAAAGTAACTTCGAATTCTTGAATTTCACTTTTTCGCTTTTGCTTCATTTTTAGGTGTTTGAGGATAATCTTTATTCAACTCTGATCATCCCAATTAAAGATATAGAGTAAGGAAAACCTCATTTCTTTCTGATCCATAAAATTACTTGGCTTACTATCAGTGACCATACCATCAATCTACCATCAGTGACCATAGTCTACTATAGATCAGTGTACATATAGAATGACCATAGTTTACGATAAATGAGTATAGCTTACCATTACAAACCATAGTTTTTCATCAACGATCATACCTATTTTTACCATTTTTATAATTATATCTTACTATCATTTATCTCGACAATAGAGAGAATAAGAGAAAAATATCAAATGCCCTTGGCGAGAATCGAACCCACGTCTTCGGTATCCAGTCCGATGTGTTAACCACCACACCACAAAGAACGCATAATTTATTACTACTATACTATGTCTATTCTTTGCGTACATATTTACGGTGTTCAACTTACCTATAGAGAAAAAATATCGCTCTGGGATCCTCACGAGTACCTTAAATTTCACATTCCGGCTGCGTTACCAGCGTGGTTTGGCCTTTGTGGTGTAGTGGTTAACACATCGGACTGGATACCGAAGACGTGGGTTCGATTCCTGCCAAGGGCATTTCATATTTTTCTCTTATTCTCTCTATTTCATTACACACACCGAACGCATAATTTATTACTACTATACTATCTCGACAATAGATCAGTTCCCACGCAGCAGGGTTCCCGCTCCATCAGATACTCATCTAAAGGGTATCTAGCCACTTAGGTCTCCTCTTGTCTAAATACACTCTACCACTCAAAAAGAAGGGTTGTATTCTCCGTGATGAAGTATTGGACTTTTTCTTTTAGGACCATATTTCCTGTCGAGTTGAATGACATCAGAGACATTCACGAGTGCCTTTACAATGCTTTAAAGAAGAGGGTGCTGCAATGGAATGACCGAAGTACCGTGGGAGATATGTTTGTCGACTTTGTTTCTGATAACAATCAAGTTAGTCAAGCAAGAGACCTAATTCGTCTTCAGTGGTGCAATTAGTTTTTTTTACATACCATGCATGAGCCATTTCCAAGCTCATACTTTCTTTGTTTCAGTCGTGTCCATATTCTTGTCTTCTCATGCGCAACCGTTAAACAAAGAAATTATACCCTAGGGAATGACATGCGGTCTGTTATGGGAAAACATTGCACCACCACGAATTAGATCTATTTAATAATCACTTCACAAACACAAATATAAGATAGTCAATCATGAAATATTTCAATCCTTCGTTTTATCCGCAGTTTCATGTCCTTGGCCTTTATTCTTCCTTCTCGAACAATTTCCCAAAAGCCATTCGCACCATCAACAGGTGCATTAAAAACTGTGGTGGATTTAAGGACTTCTTGCAGGTAACACGAGTAATTATACTTAGCGTCCCAAACAAGCAGCCCGAGTAAAACCATTAAGAAAAGCCACCTATGAAAACCGCCCCGTTCATGACTGAGTAGCAGCATAAATACTAAGAGTTACTATTGAGAGACACAGATAATAATAATGTAATAGAAATTTATGTTTACCTGTTTTACTTATGATTGTTTACAGACCCCTTCGACTAGTCTCACCTGCAAAGGGTTAGACCTCCAGGCTTTACTACTAAACCCCATACAGAGGCTACCGAGATATCTACTGTTGTTCAAGGTAAATAAAAACGCGAGTTCAGAATCCTGTTGAGCAACGCATTTTATCCTGCACGTTTCAGTGAATGAACTCTCAGGTCTTCATTCGGAATGTCTTTTTTGTATGTTAACTCTGTGTGGTCATTGCAAAGTGGCGAAACCTGTGCTTGGCGATACGCAGATTTCATGCGAAATAGCTCATAATTTATTTTCCACGAGTTTAAATTAAAGAAATTTACGATAAGTACTGAAAAGTATTTAAAAAAATAGTTTATGAAGATCAACTTTGTTTTTACTATGAATATAAACTGTAGAAAATGCCTTGGTTACAGCAACGTATTGCAAAATGCGTCACATAATGACGTTAAGCCATCTGTAATATATTGCTTTCTTTTCATCCACACTGCCAAAAAAAACTTTTTTTGACTTAAAATGTATCTTAAGTCGTGATTGTAGACTTATCAACACCAGAACCTAACCAATGGTTAAGATAACAGGTAAAACATCTATAGCACTGACACTGAATATTTTGGTGTGTTTTCTTGTAGCAATTGATCAAGTTTACTGATGTCAATCATCCTGATCGTGTCCATGTGGAGCAGGCACTGGTAACCTTGTCCAATACCGTCACTATTCTCAATAATTCCATTCAAAGCTCTCTTAAAGTTGCCAATGGATTGACAGCCAGAAAAAGGTAAGCGTTAGCGGTCAGCGGTAGAAACAGTGTCGTGAGCCGCCACGGGTGTGCAGTCGTTACCACTTTTTTCACCTAAAATATCAGTTCCAAAAAAATTCCTTTCGTCAATTACAGACTTACAATAAACTTGAGCCTGCACGTATTCATTTCTGGAGTCTTAATCAGCTGTTTGAAGGGTTCTCGTGCTCACGTACTGCAAGTTGTAGCAGGTCCTGAGGTAATCATAACACAAAGGCAAAATAATAGTTGGATATTTTGTGTTATTTCAGAGCAACGCGACGTCCGTTGAACTGTCAGAGAGACTCCATCAAGGTCTTTCACAGGTAAGAACCTGGATTTAACGAATGGGAAAACCATGAGTGGCCTTGTTTATCCCACATGTATCACATATATAATGCTGGGAATTGGATAATAATGATAATGTATCCTTCTGTTTTGCAATCAGGGTATCAGAACAACACGTCCTTAATTTGCCACAAGATGCAAAAGTCAAAATAGAAGAAAGCAGTAGCAGTTGCGCAACTACACCGCAATCTGTGCGACCTGCGTCTGTGTGCTCATCTGTTTCGTCAGGCTACGCAAGCGATGAAGGAGACAGTTCCCCTTTGAACACCTGTACAAACAACGAATCGAAATACTGTGAAAGAAATGCCGAGTTTACACGTTTGGTTCAGGAACTGAGACAGCAATCTGCACTTGAACAATTAGCGCAACAAAAGTTTGACTTTTCCGTTTCCTGCATCTCGCCTACTTTGCAAAGACTGCATATTTTGAGACTTCAAGACGTCAAACAAAAAGAAGAAGATGATAAAAAAGAATATCCTCTAACACCAAGGAGAAAATGCGCAGTAGCATTGAGGGATGGCGAGACTATGGACTTTACGCCAAGAGGAAAAGGCATGTCTTCACTTGAAGATAAGGAAAACAACATTGATTTAAACAACAACAACACCACACAGCAGACTGACCAACTTAAAACTTGTTGCAGTTCAACAAATGTTGACCAGGATACTCAACGAACAAATGGATTATCAAATGTCCCACTTTTGAACATTCGACCCAGAGTACACCGTTCCTACTCTGAAGGAGTACCATTGAGTCTTGTCCAGATTAGAGACTTTGCTTCTTGTGACTTGCAAAAGGACCAGGAACTAGCGACACCCGAAGTAACTCCTTCTAGCATCACGAGCAACAAGATTTCGACATTTCAAAGATTCAGTAAAGATCGACGCTCATGGGCTCCTGGGAACTCATTCTCCACACAATATTCAGACAATGCTTTTTGCAGGTGGGGGAATCGTAGCTCGTTCAGGAGGAGCTTTGTTGGAGATATGTTTGAGGAGGATTCGTTGAGCGTCGTGTCGGACTTGTCTACCATGTCTGGGGAATCTTCAGTGTCGGGTATGTCGACTGCATCAGAACCGGTCCATGGAAGACACGCATCCAAGAAAAGATATCATAAATTAAGAGACCTATTCAGGCAGTTTAGGTCAAAACAGCGAGGGTAAGTCATACTATAATATCTATTCACTATGCCATTCATTCACTATCTCACACTACTTCTTCCTACTAAAACTGCTTTCGGTTTAATACCCCTTTTGAAAGGACATGCAAAGCAATGAAACCTTTATTGATCCAGGGTAATCTCTTCAGTTACCCTAGGGACACTATTTTCATGGGAATCCTCAAAGCCCTGGGTCCCCTTTTCTAAAGAAAAGGCCTAGAAATATATTTTTATTGCCATTTCCGGTTACTTGCACAATGGTTTTGCAATACATGTTACAGCAATGCAAGTATTGCAATACGTCCTATAGGCTTTCACTGGGTTGCCTGTATCATGCACAGAGGCCTAGTACAGCTCAAGAAGTTTGCAATGTTAGCCAAAAGATAATTGAATATTTCATAAAAAAAAGGATCTTCTCCCTTATGGTGTTCTCTACATAATATTAAAATATTGCAGGTCCTGCCCTTTTTTAGGCTATAAAATAAACAGTTTTGCGTTATGCATGTCACACTATTTGTGAATTTGATTTTGCGCCGTGACGCAACAAGATCAAATATCCCAATGTTCTCAGTCAGAATCACCAATCAGTTTTCTTATCTTTTTGCCATCCTTTGTTATTATGTTATTTTCTGGGGTAGCTGTTTGTTTTCCTTGTTAGAAACTGCAGAAATTGCAGAAATTGCGCAAGTTGCAGAAATCACTAAATAGATTGCATCAGCTTATTGCTGAAAATTTAAATCTAATAAAAAATGGATTTTTAAAAAAAAATTATGTGGATAAGATGGGATTCGAACCAAAACAAATTTTTAAAAAATCGATTCCACTTTGCCATACCCCCGAGACATCCGCAGAGCTGAGGCGTCGTATGGACTTCGGACCTGACGGCAATTAAATCCTTCTGTCCTTGGGTGTACGAATTACGCAAGAAAATGTTCTAGCCRAAGCATCAGGGGAGAGACCAGCCGGCCCCCAGACCATATCGGCTAATCCCTTGCATCTCTGCCACGCACGGAATCGGTTGAAAATAAAGTCTTAAAAAGTCTAGTCTATTTAGTGCATTGTTTTCACGGCTATTGTTATGCTGATTCACCTAGAACCGTGGTTCAGTGGATAAATCGTTGTCGTTCAAGATACTGAGTCAAGCTCGTCTGAGGCGGGTTAGCACTTGGATGGGTGACCTAGACATTATACCTACTCACGCTTTTGCTACTTTTTTTCCTTTTTTCTTTTTTGACTTTTAAAATAATAGAATACAGAATATTCTATTTTTGAGTAACCTATTCCTGTCTACCCAAATCTATCAAAGTGAAATCTAGCAGAGAAATATTCCGGGTGGGGGAAATGACTATGTACTTATTGACTGAGTGGGAGGGCCGTACGGGAAAATATTTGGCTCGAGGTGATGCCGTGACGCAAATGACCGAGAGCCAAATATTTTCCCCGTACGGCCCGACCTAACTCAGTCAATAAGCATTTTATCATATGACCCTCACGAAAAAATCGATAAAAAATAGAAGAAAGAAAGAAATAGTAAATAACAGCTAAAAAAGAGAAAGCGCGCGGATTCGAGCAGGGCCGGACGGATTTTTCCGGCCCGCTTACGTCAACCCGTCCGGCCCCCCATCACGTGACTTTTTTCAATGGTTTTATTAGAGCGCGCGAGCAGGGCCGTACGGGTCATATGATAAACTGCCGTATTTTCATTAAGGAGTATCTAAACGACCGGAAGCCGGTCAACAATTTCAAAGCACTTCATAGACCGGCTGTTCCATTTGTATAGGAAAAAAGGCTCGTGCAATTACAAGAACTTTCAAAACATTACTCGTGTCTATTAATTTCCAAATTGTACTCGAAGATCGTGCGATTTTTTGTTTATAGTTCACTCAACAAAATTTCGGTAAAAAATGCGAAGCGACGCGGTTCATCTTTGTCTATTTGGCGGCCGATTTTCAGTCCATCGCGCAACTGAAATGCATAAAAAAGATTAGTTCTTACGGCTTTAAAATTTTATTTATATGTTTTTTAAGTACAAAATGATAGAAAATAATTGTTTTGACATTGTTTTAGCCGTGTTGCCATAGCGACTTAATTCGCTACTCCTACGGAGTACAATTAACGCTATAATTGTACTCCTCTCGACCAATCAGAGTCGAGTAATTTTGTTGAGTGTACTATAAATCCAAAAATCCATTAAAGCGCAAGCATTATTAAATCTCAAGTACAAATCTGGCAAGTAAAAATGACTTAAAACAAGGTGATGGCAATCTACCACGGGAAATAGAAGGTCGCCAACTTTATTAATTAAACATGGCATTTGTTCACTCACGGGAGGATTTGAAATCTTTCCTAGTTTAAGTTGAGTTATTATTCTTAAACTATTTCTGTATAGAATACTGCTTTGAGAAGCTCAACTAAAATGTGAGTAGACAAATATAAAAAAAGATCTTTTCGTGGCATCTTGATCTTTCTTGGTCAGTTTATACACCCGAGTAACTCCTAATCCTGTACTGAGCCTTGAATTTCAGCAACTAACGGGAAAAAATGCGTAGACATTGATTTCCGACACATAATTCGTAGCTCCACTCCCAACCAAGCACTTTGATAAAATAGACATTGATTGGCAACTGACACTTGAATATAAATCAGACTTTACAGGGGATCTCTGCATCATATGTCTGCAAAGTACTCTTGGTTAGTGCCGTGAAGACCCCTGGGTACTATTGCGCAATTATGGCATTTTTTGACACAGGAAAATACGAAAACACGCAACGCGTTTTTAGACTGGGCCGCCACAGGCAACCCAGTAACAAGGATGTTTATATGAGGACACGGCTAGGAGAGTTAGAGTAGGATCACAGAGTAGAGGGTGGTCCATGAAGCAAATTGACTGATTGAAAACTTTTTTTTCTTAATTTCATGCCACAGGTCTTCGTACCAAAACACGATGCCAACAATACCTCAAAATGATGTCATCAACATCAAAAGACCTCTGGTCATACCCAGGATGATGATTTCTACCGTTTAGGACTGGGGATAACAACATTATAATTGCCATTCACAAATAGAGTGCAAACAATATAACCATGAAACTTTAGTAATACTAAATAGCACAATTTCATGCAAATTCCATTGTTTTCTATTGTTTAATTAGCACTCTTTTGTACTATTTAGTAATTAGTGTTTCACGGATTGTTTGCACTCTATAGTGATCAGTTCAAATCATTACTTAAAAGTCTATTACAAATGATATTATAAACTTTATTTAATGTGAAAGTCTATGACTTCGTAAATTTAATGTTTTCATAACTCAGTTTCTACGAGACTATTTGCATAGCAAAGTATTTGTTGTATATATAATTTGTCGATGATACTTCGTAGTAAATCAGATTTAATACTCTATATCTGTACACATATCCTTTGTAGAATTATGTTTACCACTTGTAATATATACACGAATATAAATAAACCTAAATATATTCATTTAAAACGTATGAATAATACTTGTTGATTTTCAATATTATCATAATATTTCAGTACGATAATGAATATTTTGATGATATACAAGTATAATATGTGTAGTGAAAAAATCTCAAATCATTACATCATGCATAATAATATTTGTTTGCTTAGTTAATGGATTATTTGATTTTTAAAAAAATAATCGTATTGAGAAAAAAGATCAAAATCAGAGTTGTTTATAAATAGAAAAAGTTTGACTTCGAATTGTTCTTCCTTAGCATATAAATCCATACCTCCCCCTCAGTTTACCATAATGCATGTGCTATACTAGAATACATCCTGTTTCTTATGTTTTTCATGGGAGGCATATTAATATTTTTTTCTGGTATCACACAAGATTCCCCTCTAAACTAGATCCTTCCCAACACTAAGTTGTTTCACACCCCCAGTAAATGGCGAGGAGGTATGGATATTTTTTGGAACCATACAAGATGCCAGATCCCACTTGAAAATTTTCTTATGCCTTCCATGGGAAATAAATTAGCATTTTCTGGTATCACGCAAGGTAGATTTCCCTCTACACTAGATCCTTCCCAACACTAAGTTATTTCACACCCCCAGTCAATGGCGAGGAGGTATGGATATTTTTTGGAACTATACAAGATGCCAGATCCCACTTAACTGGTGATTTCAATCCCCCTTTGTGGGGGAGGTATGGATATATTTTTTGGAATGACATAATGAATGGATTGCATGACAGACCAGCATGTCATACCGAGCGGCTAGGCACATTAATAGCTATTATACACTTGATGATATATCTTTGCTGTCTTTTCTATTCAAACTACGGCTTCTTGTTAAGATTTTAGATGACTTTTTCGCTTGTAAAGCATCTTCTAAGCTTGAAACACTCTTCCTGAAATCAAAGCAATAATAAGAAAGCTAAGAAACAACAATAAAAAATAAAAATCTGCACAAATACATGATATGTACGTTTATTAGGGATTTTAAAGAGGGAGATAATATCCAATTTTATTATTATTATTTTATTTAAAAATGGTTCACAAATACGTACAATTGTTAGTATTATGTAATTAGCAGAATCAGGAACAACAGCAGGAGTGTCAAGTTGCAGGAAAATAGGATGTGCATACTTCTAGTGACTAAGCGAGGAGGGTGGGGCCGAGAGAGTCTGTGGAACCCAGGCTACCCCATGGCGGCTTGATATGAAATAAGACATTTAGTAAAAGATAATTTTGAATTTTTACCTTTTTTTCTTGGAGAAGATTTGCTTGACAACATCCTTGAATTTCTTCTTACTCTTCGCTCCTTCGCGTAGTTTATCAAGTTCTTCATCACTTTTTAATTTTCTTTGGTTTTCTCCAAATCCAGAAGCAATGATTTCTTCAAAACCCAATCTCTCTTCAAGCGAGAGTTGCTTGAATTTTTCCATATTTTGTAAAGTCTTATCATTTATTGGTAGTGTTTTTGTCATATTTTTGCTCAAAGTATTAGCAGGTGAATAGTCTGGGGTACCAGATACACCAGAATCGATTAAACTATCCTTAGACTTGTCCAGGCTTCCTCTACTCGTGGATGTAGATCCCAAATTATGATCACTAGACGTGTTACTTACTTTTCTGCGGAGATACTGTTGTCTAACTCCGTCAGAAGATGATCGTTTTTGTAACCCAGGGCGTTGCCTAGGAACCCAAATGTTCTCCGGTGCATCACATTCTGATCCTCTGGTTTTGTTTTTCGAAGAAGTTAGCAAATTATTATCTGATTGTGACTTATCTGCAGCATCAGTTCCCGTCTCCTCCGTACTTGACTCTCTCAACGGCAAAGCAACAGAACAAGGTCTCGTTTCCTGAATGGCGTGTTTCCTTCGAATGTTTCTATGAGTCATGTAGGGACTACCATCATCCGGGAAAGTTGGTAACGTCAATTCCTCCGTTTCTTTTATCGTTGTGACATCACTCGTGGCCATGTCCGTTTCCTGTCCAGAAATATTATCTGTAGAGAAAACCGGAGAGGGGAGAGGACTGGTGTAACATCCTTCACTGTTTTCTCCACTAACTAGTGGATTACACGCTACAATTCTTTGAGTGTCATCAGATATTTTTGTATTTTCTAATGAAACAGAAGGAGATATTGTTGGTGAAGTACTTTCACTATATGGAAATCGTTCAGACGAGTTGTCCAGTTCTCTGGGGCTTCCTAAGTCTCTTCCAAGATCAGGTAACGTGCTGGTACTTCCGCACTTTCCTTCGAATGAACGTCGCCATTTCTTTGATCTTCTCTGCCAAGAACGTTTGACGGACTCTGCAGCTATTCGAAACTTGCTTTGGCTGAAGAAAAAAACAAAAGACAATGAAAACGTGTATATGCAATAATTGAAACTGGTCAGAGCCTTTGCGATACCAAGAATACGCTGAAAATGGAAGCAAAGTATTTACCCTGCCGCCTTGTCGTTTCCTTCTCCTTCCTCTATGATAGCGTTAAATTCCTTGGAATGGTCAGCATCATAAAACCGATCTAAATCTCCGGTGCTCACTGGACGAGATTTCTTGTCCCCAGACTTCACTCGTGTTAAAACACTGTGCTGTGATTCGGGGCTTGGTGAGAGTCTGAAAAGAGTTTTTTTTTACAATGATTAGTATCTCCGTTAGATAGTTAAGGTAGTTAGCATTCGTGGTGTTAGTTTGATTAAGAAATGAAAATATTTCACAAAATATTGATTGGCAAGCATCTCAAAGAGATTGAAATGATAAAGACATTGCCGCCGTTTTTGAGAAAAGAAAATCGATGACAAATAAATTTCATCAACATGGTTGCCGTAAAGGACATGAAGTCACAGTAGGCAAGATAGGATTCCTTCTTACCTGGATTCCTGTGTCGTACTTGAAACATCAGGAGGAGAAATTGGACTGTTTAGTGGTGAATCTGTAGTTGTGGGACTTTTTAGTGATCTAGGATTACCATCTGCTGTAGTCTTATCTTGACTTGATCTGCGTGATTAACAAATAAAACAAACCAATAAGAATAGTGAGCAAGATAAAGTCCCAACAAAGCCTGCCAAGATAATGCTTACCTACTACTGTCATTATCCTCTTTTGTGATTTTAAGATCTTTTATCCCTGGTCTTTTTCGTAATGATCTAAAAAAAGATTAGGATGTAAAGTAAGGTTGATGATGAAAATCAACAAAAAGTACATAAACCTAACAAACACAACTCAGCGACCAATTGTTAGAATAAACTTTTTTTTTTCTTTTTTGCAACATCATTACCAGTCCAACTGATTCCACATCTACAACGATTAAGAATCAATAGAAGAATCAATACTGTACTATTTGACGTGTATTCTTACTTTCGTTTAGTGGACTTTCTACTTATAGAAACGTTGACTATTTTACAGGAACTCTGTATCGAATCGTTCAGAATATTTATCATGTTTTTCATCTTCTCCAAAGCATTTTCAAGGTGAAAGCTGTCAGGGTGGGAAGCCTCGGTGGATTTGGATAATTGCTGCAGAAATAGATAAACAGGTATATCAGAATGATGGTGATGATGATGATGATGGCGGTGGTAATGACGCCAGATTGCAGGATTATATGCTGCTATTGATAATGATGATGATGATGATGGCAGATGCTGATAATGATGATGATGACGATTATGATAATGATGATGCTGATGCTTATGCTGATGGTAGTGATAATGATGATGGTGATGAAGATGAAGATGAAGCTGATGATGATAGCGATGATGATGATGATGATGATGACGACGATGATGATGATAATCAGGACGCTGATGCTCATAATAGTGGTGATCATGATGATAAAGGTGGTGGTTGTTATGGTGGTAAAATCATTACTGTAAAGAGCAATTGAGATCTTGAACCCGAAGCTAAATCATGCGCATATATACTTACCCTAAGAAGGAGGACGTATCTTGGTAGACGTTGTATAGGAGTGAGCAGATAAGCTCCTAGATCTAATCCTTCACAATCTGGATCTGTCGAGCAGGCCTAACAGATAAAACATATTTCCGTTATCAATTATTTATATGTAAGATTTATTTATTAGTTTTTATTCCTCACCTGAAGAAAGCGCTTAAACTTTTGTGAGCTTCGAGAGGACTTGTTGATGATAGCCATGGCTCTGGGAAAGTTGTTGACGTAATCAGAATAGATTTTTAGAACATCAACCTGGAAGGTTAGAAATCAATGATATATTAGACAAGATAGACACGTAGGAACTAAGTTAACCCAAATATATATCCCTAACACCAACTATACTAACCAATAAAATCATATTTATTAATATTATTAATAAGATAGACATGTAGGTACTAAGTTAACCCAAATATGTATCCCTACCACCAAATATACTAATCAATAAAACCATATTTATTAATATTATTAATAAGATAGACATGTTGGACTGAGTTGACCGAATTATCTCCGAATTTATTTTTAAGTTATTTAAGGCGGTGTTAAGATCCCACCCACTACCGACCACTTCTCCTCTCTGCAGCTCGCCCACTCATTTAGATATATGTTAGTATATATTTTATTTATGACTGTGATATTTCAGAAGGTTCTCGGCAGTGTTAACATATCTTTCAGTCTGGTCCTAAGATAACAAGCAGAGTTGCAGATCTACAAATAAGATCCGTAATCGGTTGTTTTATCAACACGTCTGTATCAACTTCCTCATTATCTGTGTTCAAGGCCAATGCAGTGAGAAACTTAGAGAAATCTGTTATCAATAGACACGATAATTGTGCATATGCCAAGAACTTCCCGTGATAAGATTGACTCAGTAAATAAACAGCTACAACTCATGATTTTCATGTCACATCAAAGCGTCATGGCGGCCATTTTGAATGAATTTCACAAAAATGTCTTTGGTCTCATTGTCAAATTCCACCAACATGGCGGCCGTGATGTCTTTTGATATTTCGTCCCGCCGAACAGTCTCGCACATAAATGCTTGCACCATAAGAATCAAACCTTGATCTGACTATTAGATAATACTTACATGATAGGAACTACTAAGCTTGGTGAATATGTCACCCACGATGCCATATTGTTTCCAGTTTTCAATTCTTTCTTCAAGATCCTTCATAAAGTGTGTGTGGCTTTCACGAATTAGTCCAAGTTCATTTGGAAATATTATGCTGAAGTCAAAACAAAATAAGATTATCATTTATAGAAACTTTTCATCTGATGAATTAAATTTCTCAGCTGATTTATATTGTGCCATATCTTTGAAAACTAACTTTTTTTGCTACTGTGGTACTTATACAGCGCAACTTAAAGGGTGGGCCCAAGACAATTGGTAAAGCAAATTCAGTTTAGTTGCAAATCAGGCATAAATAAATTATCTTCTTCGATATGACCTATACTCATTCTTTCACGAATCCAGTGATACTCACTCTATTTCTTTCGGTGTTAGAAAATTTCCTTCTCTCATTGGATCTTCAAACGTCTAGAAAATAATTTTCACAGCATTATTTCTGGTTCATAATGATCTTTATAAAATGAATTACCATAAATCAAATATCTACACTATCATCTCTGGAACGGCATAGGCTGTGCTTTCCTTTAGTATATAATGGTGAAGATCAAGCTAGCTACTCAGTGTTTGTCTTACGTTTTTCAAAGTGTTCAAACACGCTAGATATTTCTTCTCTGTTTCTAAGATTTCATTGGTGACTTGAAAACGCTTTTCTGAAATATAAAAAGACATACTCAGTTAATTCAGCCAATGATTTCAACTTTAGACTTAAAGCAAAATTTCTGATATTTTTGCTAATTAAGTGTATTTCAGGTCTAGAGAAATGAGCACCATCTTTGCTTTTTGTTGTTGTTGTTGTTATCTTAATCCTTCAAAGTTCGACCAGTTGTTTATCAAGCTGATCAAGAATTGCATTGCAACAACTCCTTCTCATTCACCTACCATCTTTCTTTGACTTCGCCGTAGGACATCCATATGTTATCCGTCGTTCTCTTCCACCTCGAAATGATGGCTCCGCAAAGGCTGGTAAAACTAGATTTGCCAACATCTCATGTTTTGCCTTGGTTTGAATATTATTCAGATGAAATTCTAGAAGAAAATATCAAAGCAAAGATCTTACTCAGTCGTCAACAAGACATTTAGAATATTCCTACTTTGGTTTTGTATTCGATAACCAAAAAATCTTGATGAACCTCAAGAAACTGTAGTCTTATGGAGGCAAACGCGAATCAGAAGAGATGATTTTAGCTGATAAACGCCACGCCCTTGTAACAGGTTTTGCAGGTGAAACCAGCAAAGTCTTCTATTACTGGGTCAGTAACATTGCTTATTCAAATCCTTGCTTTTTATTACTTGAAATGCATAGCTTCACCGCTTCTTCACTTAAACATATCGGAAGATAACTTAATTAGTTCATTTCCGAAACATTATCCAATTGTCTTGTCTTGTTCCTCCTTCAAGACCGCAGTGTAATCATCTTATCGCATACGCCATCAATTGATCAGCTTTAGGCACGCAAACGAACCGAAAATCAATAATATTAGAATATTTGTAACAAAAGATTCATTATTAATTGCCATGACATTTGAGAAAGCCGTCAGAACGAATCCCGACAGATCACTAATGAGATTAGTAATTTCACAGTAATGTAGTATTAGATACTTAAGAGTAAGGTTGTCTAGTTTGGTTCCCACCATTGTGTACATTTTGTGGTTTTCAGGTTAATTATAAGTGGTGAGCTAATGTACAAAATGGCCTGCTACTTGTCACTCGAATCTTGTTAAATGGCTCGAAACCACTACCTCTTAACATCATCATCGCGGTCTAATGCCCCCAAGCACATCCGCATGAAACAATCGCATCCTGTATCAAAAAGCATATTTGGCTCACCAAGGGTGGTCCATTGTACCCACCAAGAAACTATTTCAGATGAAAAGTAAAATTTTACCACACTTGATCAGTGCAGTACGTGATGCAATGATGGTCGCGATTTGGTAGATTCTGACTAGACACTTTATGCTCGACCTATGACGTCATCAAAACATCCCGGCAGCCAGACCAAATAACATGCAAAACTGCGTCTTTTGGATCCCAACTAAGTGTATATCCCAGGGTTGTTTTGCTTCTCAGTATTATCTACTTTATATTATTGGATAAACGCTAAAAACTCAGTTATGATCTTGATGTACGGCAAGGAAAAGTACAAGTGAATCAGAAAATCAGACTTGATTAAATGTATTTTCTACTTTTCCGTTGCTTAATTAGCTACAAGACAGCATTTTACAATTCCGTTAAAAAGAGACACCGGAAGAACGAAATTCAGTGCGGCAAACACGAAATATCTTGGCCGTCCAAGAGCAATGCAAACAAGTTTTTAGACTGAGATTCTATATTTTGTGTTACTAGAAAAAAAATTTTTATCTATATAGAAACCTTTTTAAATTTTAAAGCGGTAAGTGATATTGCAGACCTCAATTACAAACTTATTTTGTACTCACCAGCGTTACTAAACCCTCGAGACCCTCGCCGTTTCAATCCCACGGGATAAGATGGCGTTAGAGTATTTCTTCTTCTGGCTAACGACGTGAGAGCCGGTACCTGATAAAATACGAAATCAATAATCAATGAGAGGTAAATATATCTCCGATAACACTTCCCTTCCGTAATGTAAGAGAGGTCATTGGTGTATCATCACTAATGAGGGACTTTACCAAGATAAAAAAATAATTTAGACATAACAGTCAGACCAAAAAATTATGCTTATTATATAATAGAAACTGAAACCTTAGTTCCCACACTTTAGGTAAGAGTTATATTTTTAGTACTTGACTTCCTAACTACAGGTAGACAGCAGACATGTAGAGCCGTTGGAAATTAAACGTTAACCTGGCCCCGACTGAGGTTACCATAGCGTGATTCAAACTCTTAAGTCGAACGTTGAAAATAAGATCGTTATAAAAAAAGGAGAAAACTTAGAGAACTGGAGTCCTACAGAACTAGCCTACACATACCTTATTATTATTATTATTATATCTTAAATGGAATATTTTGGGAGCAGGGCTATCTATGGAAGTAAACTAGATATGAAAATGTCGTAACTATCGTCTGAGAAGACTCGTCGTTGTATCTTACAAGATAAAAGTATTGTATAGGGTCAGTGACACCCCTCTGAGTATAATACTAAGATTGGTTAGCAGCTAAATATTATCAATATTATTGTACACAAGGTATAATGCTACAAAGTGCAAATAAACATATTTGTCTTGTGTCGTGTTATCTACTCAAAGGAGTAGGTCAATAACTATTGGTATTAACCCGTGTATGTAGTAGGATAATCCACAGTACTTGGCGTTCAAATAATGGTTGTGAAATAATTACTACACTTGGTCAATCTGATTGCTTTGTCGCGTGACTTTAACACTCAATTCATGTGGAAAAACACTTATGGTTCATCAAATCTGACAAATGGAATACTAATTAATGCAAAATACAGTTTTTAGAGACCGTAGAGTCGCTAAGGAAACTTGCAGTTCAAGAAGACGACAATCAGTCACGATAAATCTACCTCTGATTCATGACCCTATCTTTCAACCTCGGAATTTACAAATCCAAAACCCCTAATCCACATGTCTCTAGTCAAAATTGTACAATTTAGTGACAATTTCATCATCGCTCGACCTGATTTACATGTTGAATCTTTTACTGTTTACATCAAACCTAACCTTGATCTAAGACACTAGGTCAATAATCTCTACGGAAACAGATTGTTTATTTTGTTAATGCTTCTGAAAACCTTGAAAGCTTGCCATTTTAAAATGATTGTAGTTTAGCAATCGCTGAACATCTTGGTAGCAAATGTGTTAAGATTCCGTGAAGGTTGCCATGCTCTGAGTGCAATCAAATAAGTACATCTCGGAGTTGCCCCGACTCGGATTTTTTGTACTATCAATGTCTAATCAGGATTATCTGATTGACTTGGGTTTTTGGTGAGGAAGATACAAAATACCCACAACAGCGACCAGTCAAGTTTAGTTATCTCAAGATCAATCACACTTCGAACAAACTTCTTTCGTGAGCAACTTATTTACCACATGAAGCAACTCCGAATGTTACGGCTGGGGCAATCTTTCGAGTTTCCCCGGGTCGGCCGTGTTAGAACAGCAAATCACTTACTGAGATTCCATCATTCAATCACTGCATTTATTAGAATCAC